GGATTTTTAAGAAAAGATGGTTGGGGAGGGTGGGTACGGAGAAATCGTGGTATAACTGTATTGCAAAGACTTATTGAGTGGAGCTTAATTGTGGGACTTTAGATGTGAAAGGTATAGGTGGGATAAGCTATTGTTGTTTCTCAGAGGGTGCAGTTATGAAAAGCTGATGGAGGGGCCTAAGCAGGGCCCTGAAAACCTCTTTCTGATCAGTGGTTTTCTGTGGGTGTGTTTGAAAGTGCTTTTACCTGACAAGTGCACTTTCCTTTAATGGGCGGTTGAATCTGAATGCTTAGACATTTTGCTGACTTTTAAAAGGAGATAAGAAGTAAACTTCATTAAGAAGTCTCATTTTAGTGGTGTATAGAATTACACTTTGAAAGCATATTTAAATTGTGACCTAAAATACTGGCATGTTCAATATATATATTTTTATGCATTGATTATGGAGAGAGTCTGTCCATCTATTTGGAAGTGTAGATGACAAAGCAGGATAGTATCTATTTCAACCCATTATCAGGATTCCATTTTGTGTTGGGCTTGCACAGTGCTGGGTTTATGTATTAGCAATGAGTCTTCTGTCTCCTGAGATTCCTTAATGCTTGTTATACTCGTGTCAATACCAGGGAATGAGTGTTTGCTTTCCAGATGTAGTCACTCCTGGCTAGGAGTTTACAAAGTCACATTTGAAAAATATATGCACTAGGCAGTAATGATTTGTTGAACATGCTGGGCATTCGCTCACCTCAGGGCCTTTGCACCTGCTATTCTCTTGGCCTGAGATATCCTTAGGTTCCTCTTCTTTACTTCAGATATTTACTCAAATGTCCCCTTCTCAATGATCCTCATCCCAGTGTAGTCTACCCCTCCATTTATCATTATCTAATTATTTGGTTCATCATATCTCCTTGCATTAAAATGCAAGTGCCACGAGGGCTGGGATTCTTGTTTGTTTGGTTCACTGCTGTATCCCTAGGGCTTGGTACAGTGCTTGGCACAAGCAGGTATTATTAATTGAATGACAATAATTAAATTGATAAACTTGTACATATGTCACTTTTATTTGGGCATAATTTGTCTGCTTGTGAATTATCCAGACCCCAACATGAACTGTATCAAGGGACATAGATGTTAAGATTGAACACCTGTGAGTCTTTGAATATGTGGAGATGTGAAATGGGTAGGGGTTCGCAGACCTGCTACGAGAGGTGCAGAGAGTATCACTGTGGGCAGGAGTCTCTTCTCACCTGCTGCCCCTTCAGGTGGGGAGGAGGCATTGCCACAGAGTGGACCACTCATCACAAGGAACCCCCATTACCTGCCCCGGACTCCTGAAATTAGTCCCTAGACTTTTCTGCCAGGACTTGACCCCTGTACTTGCTCTGTTCACACTGCCAAGGTCATTTGTGGTGGGAAGTTTGAAAGTGGGGCCCACATTCAGTGGTTCTTGACCCCCAGTTGATAAAGCCAAATCCTGCAAATTCCTTGAGCTCACCTACTGAGTGAGTCTACACAGCTAATTTCACATTTCATTCCTCCCAGGAGGAGGGAGTCTGTCTGAGCATGGTTACTATGATATCTAACTTTTTCTCTCCTCTCATTATATCTTAGTGGGTTTTGGTAGCACTTAGGAACATCTGAGATTTTTTGAGGTTGAGCCTATCACTTTTAAGTCTCATCGGCAGGCAGTAAAGGTACCTTCTGGTTGTGATGTCCCTTCTGTCTGGTCCAGTATTCTCCGCCAGCCTGAAATTTCTGGTCATCTTTCTGGATTGTGGCATAATCCCTGGAAGGTCTCTTTAAAATGAAAGTATGTTACCTTGGTGGGTAACACATTTACCCAGGAGTGCTCATTGACGTGGACTCTCCACTGGAGCTGCTGCTGGAGAAGCAGATAGATCCCTGAGAGCACGGGCACCAGCATGTACACGTACATTTTGATGGAAGTGGTTGGGGATAGGGTTGGCGCCTGGGAACTGGGGCATTCACTGGAGATGGCACACGTGAGCGAAGGCACTAGAGGCCATGACTATGAGGGAACTTGATGTATGGGAAGCAGGGATGTCAGAAGAGAAACAAGAGAGCGTGAAAAGAGAGGCATGTGGCACCAGAAAGAACCCTCCGGGTTTTGTCCTGGGATTTTCTACAACCTGACCTGCAAGAGGATATGTACTTTTTCCTCTTTACATGGAGAAGGATGCATCAATCATAATCTTAGAAGATTCCTGAATTGTGAGAATTGGTCCAGCATGCTTTGAGTTCACAATCCTATTGAGCTCCTTTCTTTTTCTAAGTAATAATTGGTTTGGGGTTGGAAAGGAATTGACACACAAGTCTTATTTCCCTCGTATCTTCTTGCATGTGAGTTCACTATTGAACACAGAGCTGTGCCTAGAAATTATCGAACCTAGACAAGAAAGCAGATAGGTCAGCATTGAGGTAATTTTGATGCTATAAATGTCTGAAGCCTTGCTGTATTTAGAATGCATATGTAACATCATCTTTTCTCCCTCCATCCCCATGCTCACTCATTTTGTAGACTCCGAAGTCATTGTGGCATTATAGAGTGGTTGGTGCAGGGCAGAGGAGATAGGCCTCACTATACTGGGTCATGAGTCCTGGGAACAATCCTGACCCCATCACAGACTCCGCTGACCTATAAAAAGTGTTGTTAATCTTCTCACTGTCTGCCTTGCAAGATCTGGGAGGAAAAATGAGGTAATGTCTACATAGACCTTCGAGCTTCTCGGAAGAACAGACTTCTACAGTAATATGATTTCCTAATGCATTTGTTTGTGTCGTAATGAAGTATAATTCCATTTACCTAAAGTTCTTCTGATAATTCCAGAATATCTGACAGTCTTGCACAGGGGAAACAATCTGGCTTTGAGAGTGAGAACTGGGCCTGGCCTAGGACCTAGCCTCAAAAGGTACTCAGCCATGTGAGCCAGCTATAAATTTATGAGGTTAAGGGGAGGAAGCTGGGAGAGGAAGGAATGGGAGCTAGAGTTGGTGGTGATGGGGTGAGGAAGTTGTAATTATCTTAGAGAGTTTACATCATACTTTTAAATGATGCTGTTTTACTAAAAATCAATATCTCAATATATTTTAAAATATATATGTTTATTTTAAGTTAGCAATATTACATACTGGATGACTCATCTGCAATATTGATCCTGTCATCAGTCTCTGTATTGATAGACTCTTTAACCTAGTCCCCTTCAAGATTTAATGTAATATGTTCTTGGGCCACAACCGGGCTGTTTGTTTCCAACTTGATACCAGCATTTCCATACAAACACTAACAAATTTATAGATTCATTTGTAAAACACCTAGTAGGTTATAAGTAATATCTTATCTTTGTTCTGTAGATAAATGAATAAGTAATTCTTTTTTATTGAAATAGTCATGAACAGTATAATTTTTTATATAGCCTTTTTGAGCAGTATTACAATTGGCTTTCTAGTTAGTCCTAAAAGGAGAAGTTAAAACAAAGGATAAACAGTGGGGGAAGTATACGTATGTGTCATCTCTGACATACTATAAAGATGTCGATTTAGGTTGTAGTTATTGTTATTGGACAGTTTTGTTGTGGAATTTTCTAGAAGCAATTGGTTCTTTGGCATTTCCAACCCAGCATTTCAAAAAAAGTTCAGCCTTCTATAAAAGAATTTTGAGTAATGATTGAGTTAACCAGGAAAGAAGACAGTATGTCTTTTCTTCCAGAGAGGTGACTATATACACTTTTTAATAGCAACCAATTTGTGTTTTTAGAGCAATGGTACTAATCATATACCTTTCTCTGGGGGGAGGAAAAGTGTTACAGCTTTCATTTGCTAAATTATAGAATATAATGCAGAGGGAACATGTCCTGTCACCCAAAATGTGGCATGAAAAAGTAAATTCCTACCAAATTGTGCGTTGCATCTAGGGACATATGAAAAAAGTCACTGTTTGTCTCTCAAATTAAGAACATCTTATATAAGGAAATGATATAGAATACTATGGGACTGCTCTTTAGACCAAAATAATCTTTTACTAAAAAATTATCACTCAGAAATACAGTTCATATCGAGTTAGATTGTGGATAATGTTAATAAAATCACATTTTTGTTGGAGGAGGTTATTGAGAGAAATGACCGCCAGTTGACCCATGAGCTGGACCCAGGCAATCAATTGGAGGCTCCTCACCCCCTCTTCTGTCCTTGGAATGTACATTCTTCCCATCACTCCCACAGTGGGAACCATTTTCAAGGACTTGAAAGAGTAGGATGTTGTTAAAACCATGTGGATGGTATTTGTGACTGAACCCCGTTAAGGCCTCTGTATAAACTTTTAAGATTCTTTGGGGCGGATGAGGAGATATACATATGAGCCTCATGTGTTAAGTTCCCTTGCTTGTTAAAACCGCCCTCCACCAATCTGGAGTGGCCGCCTCTTCCTTTGGTCTCTTCTTGCCCTCTGCGTATGGGGGCCAGTTTCAGATTTCACCCAGGGAAGTTCTGAGGCTGCAAACCAACAATTTTCTGTTCCTGACAATTTACTAGAATTTGAATGAGTGTTTCTGAATGTTAAATGTGTTGTGTAATTTTATGTCCTCATGTAAAACTTAATGATAAATTTATGAATTTTTGCAGTTGTATGTGAATATAGCTAAGGCATACTTTAAAAAAAAAGATTGGGGGCTGGCCCAGTGGCATAGTGGTTAAGTTCATGCACTCCCCTTCAGCAGCCCAGGGTTCACCACGCGGATCCCAGGCGAGAGCCTACATACCACTTATCAAGCCACGCTGTGCCAGGCGTCCAACATACAAATTAGAGGAAGATGGGCACGGATGTTAGCCCAGGGCCAATCTTCCTCAGCAAAAAGAGGAGGATTGGCAACAGATGTTAGCTCTGGGCTAATCTTCCTCACCAAAAAAAAAAAAAAGATTGAAAAATGCCCTCTTTATATTGATCTGTTGCACACTAAATTGTGATGTTTTATTTGAATTTGTTTCAGAATCGAAGCAAACGCTTGGAGAAGGTCCATGTGGTTATAGGACACAAATCGTGTGACTTGGATTCTCTCATTTCTGCCTTCTCATATGCTTACTTTCTAGACAAGGTGAGGGACGAGTATGCTTTTTACATTTGAATTATGTAACTTTTAAGAACAAACATTTTTTGGAAAAAAGGAACCTATTAATTTAATTTTTTATTTTCTGGTTTATTGTTGCAGAGAACAAAGTATTATAATCCACTAATCAACAAATATTTATTGAGCACCTACTATATGTGAGGCTTTGTTCTAGTTATTTCTTATTGACTCTCTTCATAAAACATTATTTCAGTAAGATTAATGTTTTCAAATTAAAAATTTTGTAACAGTTGATTACTTTTATGGGAATTCAGAGAACTAACAAAAGTCAGGGTCAGAATTTCTTGTTTCCCTTTATTATCCTTATTGGATAGTCTTGCCCTTGGGAGTAGAAAAATGTGTGCGTAATAACCTGCATGAACAGTACCTGAAGTACAGAGCATATTGGTTGGAATTTTTGGTAGCAGTGGTATTACGTGTCACATCTGTGTTCTGTTTTTGCCTTTTAGCCCTGACTTTGTACACAAGATCATTATCAGCCAGTGATAATCTCCCTTGAGCGAGAATCTTTCTACTCTGTGAAGTCTATAAAAAGCCTATAGAGGTGGAAAAGACCTTTCAATAAATTGTTTTAAAATTTCCATTCCATAAAATTCATCAGGCCATGATAATGCATCACCTTAAAGCCTAAAAAAGTACGTTAGGAGTGTTTCAGTGCTATTTCCATTTTCACACAATTTTTAATTTTCCGGAGTCCGATTTGTTTTATTCCAGTTTCATTTGGATCCTTGGCTCTGAGAGTATGCATAGCTGATCTACAGCGATTTAAATTCACATGAAACCTAGTCTTCCAGAATAAGCTGTGGGTGGCAAGAATGGCTTAAGGCAGCAGCTGACAAAAATGCTGGGTAAAATATTCTGATCTCTAGATAGGGGCTTTATATAAAATTTATCTTAAAATTTGTTGAACTTCACAAGGGAGAGTAATTGGGATGAGGAGATAAACGTGTCTGTGTTAGGACATGCACAGTAAATACTAATCTTAGGTACTGGAGTTTTTGACTCCTAGAAAAAATGTTGCTTGGTTCAATAATGTAGAGTTGACTGCACTAAACTGGTTTTTGGCTGGTAGTGACATGGACTCTCAAGGAAATTGTATAATAATAATACCACCACCACCACCAACTATAATGTTTTGAATGAATATAATAACATCCAATAAAAGGAGTAGAAAAAGTAGTTGTGATAAATAAAATAGGTAGAAAAAAGTAAATAGATGTGTGGCTTCTTTTCGCCTTCTCCTAAGGCTCGCCACTAAGTGTGGAGACAAATGGAGGGTCACCTACTAGGAATTTATTATATTTCTGTGCCTTCCTCTTAGTTTACTGGGCTCCACCCCCTACCAGAGGTCTGCGTCTCCATTTTAATTTTTCCTGAGAACCTGGCTACTCCCTCTTGGGGTATTAACACGCAGGATAAGTACAGAGCTTTGCAGCTACATGTGTATGACTCCATTTAAATACTTTTCACTCTGGTAGGTAAGTCCCATTCTACAGATGGGGAAAACTGAGCCTCAGAAAGGAAAATGGCTTCCTCAAAGTCACACAGCAGAGGCTGGGGCTAGAACCTAGTTCTTGCGACTCCAACTTCAGAATAGGTCCTGCCAGGATAGGTGCAGGCCACATACTCTTGACTCAAGTTTCAGTATCAGGAGTTAGATATAACTCTATCAATTAATTAGGAAAAATAACTTGCTATACATAAATTGCTAACGATTGTTACACAATTGTGATTCAGTATTAGCCTGACAGGTGGGAGGAAAACCACTTTGTTGGAGTGGCTCTGTGTTTTGTATATGATAGTAGGGGAGGGGTGGGTGATTCATTTATTCCACTCAACAAATATCTATGTAATGTCTACTATGTGCCAGGCTGTTTCATGCATTGGGAAACATAACTGAACTAAAAGACCAAAATCCCTGCCTTCTTAATGCTGGGAAGGGGAGATGGATGATAAAGATGTTAAAACTGTAATAAGCACTGTACTCGTGATAGAGCTGGTGATGATGTGAGAATAAAGGCCGTTTACTTTCTGCAAAAATTCAGTGTACCAAACCCCACATTCTCTCGGTGATATTTAGAGTTTATTGCCATACACTCATAGTAATTGTTAAAAGTACCTCTATTTTTTAAATTCTTGTAAAAAATTGAATCCGAAATTCTCTAGCTCCTACCCATCTCCTCTTTCCCCCATTACCACAATTTTTTATAAGAGATTTGTTAATATATGGTTTTTTAAGTAATATAAGAAATCAAGAAAGATCACAACCTGGTAGTCTGTGGGCCAAATCTGGCTCGTAAATGAGTTTTCATTAACCTATATTTTAATTTTTTTAATTTTTAATTTTTAAAATTTAATTGTAATTTTAATTAAAAATTTAATTTTTAATTTTAAAAATTAATTGTAACAACTAAACACCACAAATAACCCCCCCAAATCCAGATTTCTAGCTTTTCTTGAGTAAGTGAAAGATCTGACTATCCTGGGCCTGAATGTTTTGCATGTAAACAGTTGGCCGGAGCAGAGTGGCAGGATCCCATAGAGATGGGACATACGTACCTGTCTGCCTCACCACGGTCCTCACCTGCCCTGCGTCAATCATTCTAATTTTCTGCCGATTCCATAACGACATGTGAATTTGTCTCCCCTGAAGAGGAGAATGTATAAATATATTTTTAAATCATGGAAGGGTTCAAATGAGACAAAATATTCAAGTGAGGCATGAGAAGTTTCATGTAGAGTAACAGGAGATTAAAAAATATTAGGGACCACTTAACCTTTGATAATGCTCTGCTAATCGGGTTCAGGAAAAGTTGGTTATGAATGTCAAACGGTTTAGCGAGACCAAAGGCCTTACATTCCCGTTACCGGTTACCCTCGGGCTTGAGAAAATGTGGTGGTGTTCTTTCCTCCTGCTGTTGCAGTGATTCAGTCAACTTTTTCTTGGTAGGTCAGTCCCCCTGGGGTTCTCTGTTTGCCCGTGCTGAACATACCAAGAACTGAATTCAACTACTTCACTGAGACAAGGTTTATTTTAGAAGAGCTGAATATCTCTGAATCATTCCATATATTCCGAGATGAAATTAATCTGCATCAGCTAAATGATGAAGGGAAGCTATCTATAACGCTTGTTGGCAGCAACGTGCTGGCAAGGTAAGGCTTAATGTGAGGCTCTGGGGGGCGGTTGATCTTTTAACGAAGGCTCTTCTGGGCAAAGTGGTACCTTGTTCAGGATTTTCGTGGTTTAGGGAGATGTGTTAAAGGCAGAGGACATTCAGAGGAAGGGGAATAATTTTTCTTCTCTTATGGCAAAATTTGGGCTATGCCAATCCTCCATTTTTAAACTTTTGCATTTCAAATATGACATCTTTGAGTGGAAAGTTCTTGTAAAATTGACCATAATTTTAAACCATTCCAAACAGTTTCCTATAGCAATGCAACAGTCCTATGTATTGATGCTGAAAATGTGTAATGAAAATGGAAATTAAACACTAAATAAAACTGAAAAGGTCTTAAGAAAGAAATCTCAGTAGTGAAATGGAACTTTATGTGGATGGGCTATGAACGTCATTTGATCACTAGCTCATCATTCATAGCATTTTATACTATAAGAGTAGGATGGATTTTTGAAAGTTCATGTAGTTTGAACTCCTTATTTTATGGACAAGAAACCTGCAACCCAGTGTTGCAAATGACTTACCCAAGGTACCACGTGAAGTTAGCACAAGAGTTTGGATTAGAACTTGGGTCTTCTGCCTCCTTCACTAAGTACTTAAGAGTTGTTATCTGGTGCAGGAATCTAAAGGTACATAAAGAGGCATAAGACAAATTCTCTGCCTCCAAGGGCCTTACAACCCAACACAAAGATGCCCTTCGATAAGCTCTCTAGTGCTACTGAATGAAGAGTCACAGATAAACATCTCAGTAGTTTGAGGCGATGGTTTTTTTTGCATGCTTTGCTGATATGCTAATTGTTGATGACATTAACCAGTGGACATTGACTTTAGTATACATGAAATAAAAACTTGTACAAGGATCTAATTTTTTACTTAACCTTTTTTAGGAAGCATGTTTAGATATGAGCACATTATAATGTCAGTCATGCAGTTCAGTCAGTTATAAGGAATATGAAAGGAATCTGCCTGTGTGGGGCTGTTTTTATCCTCATGGTGTTTGAAACACACAAAATTCTTTTGAATAATATTTATCCGTCAATTGTTGACAACTGACTGAGAGTTTTTGGCAGGTTATTTGACTGACTTAAATTATCAGTGTTCAGGATGATAACGTGCTTGATTAAATTTATGTGTTAACTTTTTCAAACCAACAAATGCAAGTAGATATGGAAAAAGACAATGCAAGAAGCCAAAGGAGTGAATTGTGACACATGTGTGTCAATCAAAATCTTAGGAAGAGTTTTGCTACCAATTAAAATTGAAAAATTTGTGCTGGTTTTGAGATAAAGTTGTGAACTCTGGCTTTGAGATTGTTTATCAAACAGAATACTTTTCAAAAATAGAGATCTCCATTTCCTTCATTGCCACTCATTTGCTTTTGACAGATAAAAAGAATACAGTTAGTTTTATCCATATTTTCTTCCTGCCTTTGATAAAGCCAACTCTATCCTACATATAAAGAATGTTGGTGGAAGTACATAAGCCAGTAGTATTTTTTCTCCAGCACTGTGACTGGATGTGCAAGCTTTGAAACCAGATTGTCAGAGTTTAAATACAAGCTAGTCTACATGCAAACTTTGTGACCTTGGACAAATTTCTTAACCCCTTCATGCCTCAGTTTCCCCATTTGTAACATGGGAATTTTTCTAGAACCCAGTTCATAGGGTCATTTTATAGTATAAAACCGGACAATACTCTGCAATTATGTATAATAATGTGTCTAACCTGTAGTGGAAGCTCAATAATTGTTAGCTGTTACTATTAGTTTCCAACAGCAAAACAAGAGATAGAAGTGCTCAGGTGTGAAGGTCTTCTAAGACTCTTAGGGAGGTGATTAGTTGAAATGAAATGTGAAAACATGTAGAATAAGTTTCTCCTCTTCTGAGTCATGTGAGTCATATTTTTGGTTATTGAGAGGAGGTCATTTGTGTGGGAGCAGAGATTAAATAAGTCCAAAAAGTGAGAAAACATGCCATATCTCTTTCTCTTTTTCTCCTCCATTTGCTTAACAGTGAGGACAAAATTTTAGAATCAGCAGTCGTCAAAGTCATTAATCCGCTTGAGCAGAGTGATGGTGGGCTTGAGTTCCGAGAGTCTTCCTCCTCCCTCGTGGTGAAAGAGATACTCCAGGAGGCTCCTGAGCTCATCACGGAGCAGCTGGCTCATCTCCTCAGAGGTGAGAGACGACTCTTTCTATTAAATACTGGAAGGCTTAATGGAGTGTCTCACAACTTGCTCACGCAGAAAGAGTGCGATCCATTCTTGGGTTAACAATCCCTTTAAAGACCACAGGAAGCTTCATCAGAGAGGCAGGGAGTAAAGAGTTTGTTAAAGAGTAGCATTATACTGAATATTAAAAATGTGCATTTAAAAATAGGCGTGAAGGATCTTTGCTGTTTCACTAGACAAGAATTTTAAATGGAACTGCTGCACCCCTGTTGGGGAGCTGGAAGAGCTCCTCTGGCCGTCTGACAGCTTCTGGAGATGCTTCTTACCCCACAACAGCGTGAATATGGGCCAGAATTCCATGTTCCTGTATCAAAATATCTCCAGATACCGATACATGCTTGGTTTATTTAGTACTGTTTGGATGGCAAAATTTGTACCTTTCATTTTGGTGATATTGTGTCAGGACTTTTATAGTCAAATTGTCACCTCCTTTGTCCTTCATCTTGTAACGTATTCTGTCTTCACTCAGCCTGCTTTAAGCGCTGGGGTCCAGAGCACATTGTCATCAATTATTCTCCAGATCTCTCTTTCATCTCTCTTAGTGGAGCTCACTGTTTCCAAAAGTGGTTTCCAAGCTTTTTTTTTTCTTTCAACACTGTATCTTGAACATGGTAGACCTAGGTTTTTCTCTGAAAGATTTAACCCAGAAAAGTGAAAGACAATGGTTAACAGGCTGAGAGAATTAAAACAGGAAGAAGAAGACCAAGAGTGTGTTGACTCGATTCCTTGAAGGACTGTTTCCTTCACTTCCTCTGTCTCTACCATAATTTGGAGGGAAAAGATCCACAAGTGATATAGTTCCTATAAATTTTTAGAACTAATGGCACTGGTAAACCTGTTTTAAATATTTTTCTGGCTATGGACATCTTTAAAAACACTCTTTGGGAAACTACGCCTTCAACTAAGCTCAGTAAGCACAATCATTGATCTTTGTGACAGAGCAGAAGGAAAATAAAGGTAATTGGGGATCTCAGCCAAGAGGGAAGTTGTTTAACAGTGCAAATGTGTGGTGCAGGCGAACACTAGAGAATATTCTGTTTAAATATCTTGCAAACCACAAGTTCGGTTTATTGTTCAAAAAATACATGTGTTGTTTAGTAGAAAAGAAATGTTGTCAATGAATAGCTTGTCATCATGGTTTTCTGTAAATAGCAAAAATCATATCAAAGGGTAACACATTGCTACAAAGATATGATTTTGCTGTTGTTTGATGATGATGGTGATGATGGTGATGATGATGATATTCAGACTCAGGGAATTAGAAGGGATGCAGACCTTTTTATTAGTTACCTTGATTTTGGTCTTCAGAGCTACCAAAAATTAGAGCTGTGGGAAAGGACCTTGGTTTTTCTTATCATCAGAGATTTTTCATAAGGTTTGGCTTGAAGTGGCATTAGGAAGTGATCAGGACATCACTTCCTGGTCACTTGGAAATTGGAATGTGAGAGGATGGAGTGCCTCCATCTGTGAAGACTGTCAATACAGATACTGTCATGAGAGACAGAGTCACTGAAGCCTGGGAGGTAGAAAACATGGGTGGCTTCTTATAGTGGAAAGAGGGCTCTGGAGACCTTTGGTCAAAGTGTGCATGTGTGTGTATGTATGTATATGTATGTGGAGGGGAGGTGGAACATCACTGGATAGTTTTGCCAAGAGGGAACTAAAGGATGGTGATCCAAGGAGTTGGATTCTGAAGGGGTAACTCAAGGTACAGAGTAAGAAGGGCAATGAGCCAATTTTTAAAAGCTTCAGTCTTTAGTAAATATAAGAAAAGAATGAAGTCGAACTTTACTCTAACTAAACTTGAATTTAGATTTTGTAGTTTTCCAATCATGTATTAACACCAAGCATAAAGGGAGGTTTTTTATGTACCTGTAAATAATTTTAGCATTCTTTATTTTCATAATGTGAGTAGTTCTCTTTCTAAAGGGTTTTCTCTATAAACAGCTATGATCTTATTTTGTATTTTGGGGTGCTCGAAATGATCATTAATTTGACACACATTTCTAGAACGTATTTATGTGTTCTCCTCGGTCTTGAAGGAATGCAAAATTTCTATGGATGCCTTTGCCATAAAGAATTTTGAAAAATGTGTTTCCAGATGTCATGAGACTAAATATTTATGGCTGAGACTTGGAAGAGTCTTTAAAAGCATCATAATTAGACCTCTATGGAGGATATATTATTATAAACTTTGTGCCAAAAACATTTGAATTTACTACAAAGTAAGTACTTAATCAGTTGATTGTTCTGTGCCTTTTATTCTCGTGGTCATATCCTAAAATACGTCATGGTGAGGCACATTGGTGTGCTGTAAATGGATTTCAAGTGGGCCAAGATATTGATCTCCTCGGTCCTTGGAGAGGACCCCAAGTATGCCACTTAGCCCGGTATGCTGAAAAAAATTATAATTTTCAAAGTGTTCCTTAATGTGCAAAAGATTGGGCCTACTCTTACTTAGTCTTGCTTTTTAGCTACTTCTTCTCTGTTCAACTTCTAAGTATTGCAATGCCCTAGACTTTGTCCTGGGACATTTTTTCTGTCTACAGCATCCTTACGTGACTTCATTTAGTTTTGAGATTTTAAAAATAATACACAGGCTGTGACTCCCTTTGCCTCCAACCGTGACCTCTCTTTAGAATTCTGGGTTCACATCTAGTGCCCACATGAGAGCTTCACATGCGTGTCTAATTAGCACCGCCACCTTAACATGGCTGTAATGGAACGCTGTCATTCCCCACACCTCCAAACCTGCTTTTATCCCAGTTTCCCCATATCAATAGAAGGCACTGCCAGCCACCCAATGACTGAAACCACAATCAAGGAGTTATACTTGATTCTTTCCTTTACTTTTCCTCCCACATTGATCCATCAGCAAGTCCTGCTGACTCTACATCTGGAACATAACCTGAATCCATCCACTTTTCCCATGATCTCTACTAGTAATCCAATCCATGCCGCCATCCTGTCTCTCTTTGACTGATGCAATAGCTGCCTGACTCTTGCCCTATTTCCTCCATAAAATCTGTTGTCTAGGAAGTAGTCAGAATTACCTTCTAAAAATGTAAATCAGGTCATGTCAGTCTGCTCTATAAAACCCATCGTACGTGGAATCCAAGCGCCCCACCCTTACCATCCACAGCACCATCTCCCCCCACACCTACTCTGACATCATCTCATGCTATGTCCCTTTTTCCCGTGTGTGTTCCAGGGACAGGGGCCTTTCAGTCCTTCAGATATGCCAAGCTCTTTTCACTCTTGAGGATTCATGTAAGCTGCCTCCTCCTTCTGGAATGCTAGTTTCTATCTAGCTACTTTTCTTTCTATCTGTCACTCGTCTCCTCCTCCCTCTTGCTTCCTCACTCTAGAATGTAAGCTTCGTGAGAAAAGAGACCTCACGTGGTCAGTTCACTGCTCCGCTGTTGTGTCTCTGGTGCCTGGAACAGGACCTGCCACGTAGTAGACTCTCAATAAACACGGTCATAAAATGAATTTTGCGAGATTGTTTATAGACTTTATATTTTTATGACTAAATTGATCTAGTTAGTGCTGCTATATTTTAATGTTCTTTGCATTCCAGCCTGTCCCTCCAGTATTCTTAATGTCTAGACTTTGGACATTGTTCCTTCCAATAATAAATCTTTTCTTTTTACTTTTAGAAATCCTAGTAGAATTTTTGTTATTTTGCAAATATTTGTTTTTATTTTCATCTTTTGGTTGTCATTATATATATAATATGTATGATACATATATATACACTATATATATAATTTTAACTCTTTCATGGAGTATAATGCATGTACAGAAAAGAATAAAAAACATGAATATAATAATGAAAATATACAGCTCAGTGAATTATCACAAAAGAAATATCTTTTTAACAATTATCCACGCAAAGAAATAGAAGAAGATGGCCTCTTTGTGCCCCTTCCTGTTACTACTCAGTCCATCCCTAACTAAAGGTAACTAGTATTCTGATTTTTATGGAACACACTGCCTCACTTTTCTTTATACTTTTACCACCCCTGCATGTACCCCAATTGTTTTGCCTGTTTTGCATATTATGTAAATGAAATCATATGATATGCACTCTCACTGTTATTAGATCTCTATGTTAGTATTAAATGTAGCATCTATTTGCATAGGTCAGTTATCTATCTATCATCTATCTACCTATTATTTATTTATTTTATTATTTATATCCTTCCTTCTTCCATAGAATATTTGAAATGGCTTATAAAAATGCATGCAAATATAATAAAAAAGTAAAAAGTGTCCGAGTCAGGAAAAATGAAAACCTGTGGAGAAAGGAATAAAATCAAGATAGAATAAAAAATTTGAAGGAGTAAAAATAGTATTCAATTTGAAGCTTTGGATATGAGCTTCCTGGAGCCAATGAAAAAATAGAAATGTAATTAATTGTAATATTTATAGTATTACTAAGACAAACACATATACCAGTTCCTCCTTTAAAAAACATTTAAGATTGAAGTATTTTTTGTATGCATCAGTCTTCTTGAAAAGACACCTGATAATGTCAAGACATTCTGCGGCATATGTGTTAGTGGTTTATATAGGAACCAGGCACTGCGTCAGATACTTCTCACTCTTCAATTAATTGGTGTATGGGGAGTGTTTTAATTAACTTCACTTGTAGTCTAGTAACCTTATTTTTTGTTCCAAATTTTTCTACACATGCTCTTTTTCTCTAAATACAGGAAATAAATATTTAAATTCAATCATATTGGAATCTTTAGTCTTATACTTAACTGCTGTAGATACATATCAAAATGTTTGCATTATGGGATAATATTATATTCAAATATTGGGGTAGAACCCGATTCTTAGGGATGTTGTTAAAAGACCATTTATATACCAGTTAGAAGTAGGTATTGCATTGCCAGTGTAGAAATAACCTGCTGTGTTTCTCTAATAATCGCCCCTGTC